ATATATATATATATATATATATAACGTGCTCTTTGAGACTTTCTTCTCTTGCAAAATTGTTAGATTTTCATATGCAGAAGTGAAACCACATCTATTTAACAAGGAAGGCTCAATGAATCCTCCAGGGGCCACAGGGAATAATCAAAACACTGCCAGATCCAGCAAGAAATACCAACTCAGTTAGGAACAAAGGAAATGGAAATCAATGGCAGGATATGCATATTTTTTTGACAGCTCGACACACAAATAATCTTTTGGGACTGTGCCTTCTGTTGCCTTTGCCAGGTTAAAATAACAACCAAGCATGGAGAAAAAACATATATAAATAAAATGCAGTATGTGGCTAAGAAAGGGCACAGCATTACACCTACTTAGTTTCATGTGAAGGTGTTCCAAAACAATCAATAAGAAATGCACTGCATTGCAAGCAAGGCTGAAGCGCCTAAGGCATGGTCCTATCTTTAAGTGCATACTACCAACCTCAGAAATCCATTTCAAGCTAAATACTGCATTATTTAAAAGTTGCACTTTTCGTCTCATGCACAGTTGTATTTGTCAGTTTGACGACACTTGAGTAACTTTAGGAAAGTCTCCATCTTGTGGGCATCTTTCTTGAAGCAGCTTAGTAAGGTGTAGTCTTTCAGAACTGATTCCAGCATCTCTGGTTGAACATAATTTTGTAATACACCTTGATCACTGTAAGCAGTAGTTATCAGGCCCTCATCCAACATCTGAGCAGGAAAAAAAAGAACAAATATAAACATACTATTGTCTTATTTACAGCAACCCTGCCCCAACCTGACCCACAAGCCATCAAAATCCTCCAACTTAATCGTAATCATAACTTTAACTAACCCTTACAACCCAACATAACATTAAGACACAGCATAATGTTTATAATTACTAACCAAACTAATTCTAACAATGCAATCAAACTCTTACAATTCATCCTAACCCTTAAAGTATAACTATAAAACCAAAAAGAGCAGAACTTTAAAAATACCAATACTAAAACCCAAATCAATCTAATCCTTATAACAAAAACTGATCCCTACAAAAAAACTAATCCTGCTATCCAATTATACACAACTACACAGCTTAATCCCAAACCCAACCCAGCCCTACAACCCCAAAGACAAGCGAACTCAACCTAACCCTCAGTCCAACTCAACCCGCCTTACTTGCATTGATGCACTAAGTTAGGGAAAAAATAAACAAACACCTTTAAACACGCTTCATCTTTTCTCATGAAATCAGCTTTAAATTTGTTTAAATTTAAATAAGCTTTTCTTACAGCTTTCTCACATTTAAACATTTTTAAATACACAACACTTTTCATATACAGTAGTCCCTTGATAATTTACGGTTCAACTTTCGCGGACTCACTCTTTTGCGGGTTTTCAATGTAAGATTGTACGAGACACACAGGCAGGAGCACAACCTGTTTTGTGTCTCTGCTCCATTGTGACAGGCAGCCTCAGAAAGAGAAAGGAGGGGATGGGGGTGTCTTTCCTCATTACCACTGTGGGAGCTTCAGTGAGGCAGATACCAGAGTGAGTGGCATTGATTGTTTATTTAAAATAATCTAGTGCAACCCAAACCGAGACTTTAGTCCCCTTCGGCGATCACTGAGTGCGCCAGGCCAGCAGGAAATGTCCCTGTACTCCCGATGGCCAGTCTGTCCCCAGACGCTGATTGGCTCAGTAACTGTAGCATCAGTCTGTCTGCTCTCTTTTATTGAGCTCTTTTAGAGAGTTTAGAACATTATTAAGAACACTGCAAGGGCGTGGGAAGGGTTTAGGGATGCACAATATTATCAGCATGGTATCGGTATCGGCTGATTTTAGCATTCCATCAAAAATAACTCGTCGATATAAAAGACGCTGTTTTTGTATGATAACCCAGTGACAAGGATGCCTGCAGCGGCAGCACAATGTGATGACGCCTACCTGATCTCACGGCGGTGCGGAAATTCAAAATGTCGGCAGTGTAGAATTTATTTTCATTGAGGATGTCGTATTCCCAAGGTTTTTGGACTACTTTGAGCCTCGCTACATCGTCCCCAGTCAGAGATTTTTTTTCCAACGTAACCTTTCCCGAGTTACAAGTTACATGACATAATTAAGAAGCTAATAGCCGATAGCACTTGCGTGTTTTACCACAGACATTTGGATGTTGTGTTAGCTCCATTAGCATGATTAGTCTTACGGCACAATGGATAAACAAAAACTTTGATCTTAAAAAGTCTGACCTTCATGCACAGGAGTGCAGCGGATCCCACACTGCAGCTAGAAACCTGGAACAAGCCTCCACAAGTGAGACAGCATTTCAGATGACTAATGCTAATAAATAATATTTAACACTTTTCATTTAATATAAGTTAAAGAGCTATGCATATCATATGAGTGTTACGGAATATGTCACCAGCTCTTACAGCTTTTACACAATTTTTGTAGCAAATAAAACTAAATACGAGGGCTATGTTCTGACCAAGGAAAGTATATAAAATATCAGTATCGGCATCGGTTATTGGCCAAATAAGTTTTAACATATTGGATATCGGCCAAAAATCCAATATCGTGCATCCCTACATAACATATATAGGTATATATTATTAAAATAAATATAACGTCCATACTTTTTTTTTTTTTTCACCTATTGCAGGAGTGTCTGGGACATAACCGTCGCGATTAATGAGGAACTACTGTAAATGTTTTAATGGCTGATCTTTGTTATTGTCCTGTTTTTAAAATGTTAATAATGATACTAATGATAATTAAAAAACCTAATAACACTAATTATTTTACCTTCTTGATGAGGACAACCACTCCTTGCTCCAGACTGATGAGTTTCTCAGAAACCCACTTGGTTTTGTTAAGCAGCATGTCAGGAGCATGATCATAGCTGTCCAGTGTCACCTGCAGGTAGACCAAAGGCCCGATCCAAGATTGGACCAGCATCAACACAGACTGGAGTAACCATTTGTCCTGCAGCACATGTAAGTAGTGTTAGAAAAAGAGATTAGATTCAAAACATTTAATGTTCCGTATAATCACACCACAAGGCAGACTGCAGAATCTGCACAATCTGCAGACGATAACGCACGTTTTGCAGCTATTAAACAATAACCAACAGAAGTAAAGTGAAAACCCATGAGAGAAGTTGTTGAGCCACACACACACACACACACACCTCAGAGCAGAATTTAGGGCAAACGACCTCTTAGCAATTAGTCAATAAACCGAAGAGCAGCCAATATCAGAATGGAAAGGGCAGATTCCAATTACTGAAAGTGAGAGAACCCTTTCAAATTTGTGTTTTGAAATAAAAAATATTGCTGTTATGATAAAAAAAAAACAAAAAAAAAAACTCAGACAGCCCTATCAATAAGGATGCATGTCCTTCAAAAGTATGCTACAATACCTTGTAGCATCAGGTAACAGAATAAGGGCCATTGTAAAGAAGGTAAGTCACCTTTTGTTAAAAAGTTCAGTGTACTGACCCATCCATCCATCCATTATCTTTACCCGCTTCTTCCATTTTGGGTCACGGGGGTCGCCGGTGCCCATGTCCAGCAATCACTGTGCGAGGGGTGGGGTACACCCTGGATGGGTCGCAAGTCCATCACAGGGACACATAGAGACAAACGAGACAAACAACCATTCACTCTCTCACTCACACCTAGAGACAATTTAGAGTTACCAATCAGCCTAACGTGCATGCATGCACGGAGAGAATATGCAAACTCCACCCAGAAAGGCCCCTGGACCGGGGTTTGAACCAAGGACCTGCTCGCTGAGAGGCAGCAGCTCTACCAGTTGCGCCACCGTGCTGCCCCACCTGTCCTTTTTAAAAAAAAATTTTTATTCTGTTGGGCAGAATTTAAATCCCTTTCAAGAAAACAAAATAGTGTATTTATAAAAAATGTGTATATCTTTAGAAACCTGGTTTCTGTTTTCCACCCATGTTACACAACTGTTATCAAATCTTTTTAAGCATTTCCTCAAATGAGAGCTAAGGATAGATGGACACTGCAGTCCAGGAAATTCTTGTCCGCCCCACTAATATTTTTAATTAAAAGCTGCCACTGCAAAACAAACAGGAACACTCAGCATGGAATCAAAAATAAAAATAAGCTTGACTAACATAAAAAAAAAAAACACACAAAGAAGAGGATTTAAAACATCTGAAACATCCAGCTGTAAACGTGCTTAACGTTTCAGTTCATCTCAACAGCAAAATTTATTTTCTATATGTTAAACCGCCCCCCGCCAAAAAAAGGGCTAATCTTTCCTTTCCGAACAATTAGCTAATCCTCATGATCAGGTTGAAGCACACTTTGTGTTTGTTGCTGTTTAGACAAACACTGCTTGCTGTTTTGTTCTTGAACAGTAGGTGTCACTAATGAAATGATAATGCAGCAGAACTTGAAACAAGAAGACGAGCTGTTCACTTAAATAAACCAATACAAGGGATCTGCACTTCATACACAAACTGACGTCTACTTTTTAAGAACACTTTGCTATTTTTAAAGACACCAGCTGAAATTAACTTTTAGGCTCAAAACTGTAATAGCAGACAGCTGCAGCTACAATCTAATCACACGAGCGTCTGTAAATTGGTGCAAACTGCTTTATCTTCACGTGCGTTATTTGTGTGATTCTTATTTTCTCCACTAATATGTAGAAACATATTCACAAACAACCCAAAAAAAAAAAAAAACATACAGATACACTTTCCTATCAAAAGGGAAAAAAAAAAAAAAAAACTTTGGTGTTTTGGTGCATCAAAGTAAAGTAGGATTGATGTGAACATTTCAAAAGTGCATAATTATAACTGCTGTTGCAGGCATATTAAAAGTAAAAACATGATATATTAATGTTAATACATTTGTAGAAATCTGTGACCAAATGCTTACAGATATTTGTTGGATTTCACTTTTGGAGCTGGGGAGGGGTAGGGCTTTGGTGATGCACCCATACGCTGCCTGGTTACTCTGGAGCCTCAGAGGAAAAGGAATGAACATCTCCTCCTACAACCCAGTTACAAAAAGGAAACAAAAAAAGATTAGATTATTCTCCCCTTTCCTGTTGAATAGTCTAAATATGAAACAACATAGCTGAATGTCCTAACTTATTTGAAAATATAATAATCCAGGAAAACAGGGACAAAAGCTTCACTGCTCCTTACCACTGGAGACAAGACAGAAAAACATGATGTTCTCCAGCATGTGCTCTCTACACCCCATGCAGCACATCCTCAATAACAACCTGAGCATTGTTTCATTTCAAGCACCATTCTGATTATCTAGTCCCAAACTGAAGGAGATTCAACAGGTTGCACAACTGGTGCTTTCCCCAGCGCAGTGTATCATTATCACATTCATATTACCCCGCTGTGAGCTTGCTTCTTCAATAAAACATCTAGGGCTCAGAAGAGACACAAAAGATTACTTTGAAGCCCACAAGTGAGGCGACGATCACGGCAGAATCAGAAGCAAACAAAACCGAGTGTGCAACAGAAGGAGTCAGTGCTTCAGGTCCTGTGGAATGTTAAAATAGGCCAACGAAAAAGACATTTTGCTCATGCGTTCTTTTATAGTCGGGGAAGTGGAGGGCACAGTTTTAAGGCTGTACCTCGAAAGTAATGTCTTTTCAGCAATGACATGTAACAAAACATGCCTGTTTGATCTCACTACAAAGATTTATTTTTCTAAAAATACACAAATTATTCAGATTAATTTTATAGGCTTTTTGGTTGTTGTTGTTTATATTGAGTTCACATTTCTCAAAACTAATTTGCAAAAAGAGCAGTCTGTGCCCAAGATCCCCATGAAAATATCTGTTTATCTGATCTAAGAATGGTTTTAAGCTCTTAAGATCACAAGTTAACAAATAAGATTTTTTTCCCAGATAATCAAGCTAAGCTGATTCTGTTAGATAATAAGATTAAAGGAGTATGGTGCAAACATAAGCACTTGTTCTTGTGTTTCGTTGTCAATACACAAACTTATGAATTATAATTTAGACACATTGAATATTGGACATTCTTGAATGTGATATTTTCAGCTTGAATCAATTAACAGCCTCACTATACTGAGTTACATTGGAAAAATACACATCCATCCATCCATCCATTATCTTTTACCCGCTTCTTCCATTTAGGGTCACAAGGGTTGCCGGTGCCCATGTCCAGCAATCACTGTGCGAGGGGCGGGGTACACCCTGGACAGGTCTGTAGTCCATCACAGGGACACATAGAGACAAACGAGACAAACAACCATTCACTCTCTCAGTCCCACCTATGGACAATTTAGAGTTACCAATCAGTCTAACATGCATGTTTTTGGTCTGTGGGAGGAAACCGGAGCACCTGGAGAAAACGCATGCATGCACGGAGAGAACATGCAAACTCCACCCAGAAGGCCCCTGGACTGGGGTTTGAACCAAGGACCTGCTGAAAAATACACAATTTGTTTAATTGTATATTTAAAATAATTTATAATTGTCATGAAAAAAAATAACTTTAAGATGGAAAATTTAAATATTTTGACCCATTTTTTAAAATAATCTATGTAGAGCTAATGAGAAAATTAACAATTACAAAAAATAAAATTAAAACAGCATTGTTATTTTGCGATTATGAGAAAAAGTGGCACTATCTCAAATTTAGGTAATTAACACTTTATTCTAAGATTGCATCTCTCAGCTTCTGTATTCATATAAAATGATTTATTATCTTCCAAAGGTGGAGATTTTAAAATTGTATTGTGCAGTCATGAGCTTACAGTGTGACAATGACCAAATCAAATGTAATGTTTAACAGTGCAAATGTAAACCGGCAAAAATAAAACAATAATAAAATAATAATAATTATATATATATATATATATATAGTGAATATTATGACTAATACAAATTAGTCTGGTTTTAAGGTGCCAGTGTTACTCACAAATAAAGCACAAAGTTCTTCTGAAACCCGGTAGATTAGTTCAGCATGGTGGATGACTCGGTCCAGAAGTTTTTCCTGGGAGATGGAGGAGCAGCGATTCAGGCTGCCTGGATCTTCTCTGCAGTCTAGTGGGGTGCTTACAATGAGAAGACAGGGCCACAGAAACAGAGCCCACACCCCCTCTTGCAAGACTGAAGATATGGTAAAAATATTTAGGAATAAATGTTAGAAGACAAGTAGACAAAATACCCATTTATTGTAGCATCCTAATTTTGATAATCCCTCAGTTATTTATGTCAAAACTACTTTAGAGCCTTGTTTTGTAAAACATTACCGGTCAAATGCATTGTGTCCGTTTTCTTCAGGTTTCCTTGCTGCTTCTCTACACTGAGAGCTTTATAAAGCCAGAGGAGACCATGAATAAAGGGAAAACATTATGCGCAGGTGCTTGTAAAAAGAACCTGGTCATCCCAAACCAACACATTTTTTCTCTAATGCATATTACCATGGTGGTGTCTTGTGTGGCCCAAATATGGTTAGTCAAGTTGCAAAGCTTTATTTCATATAATGTGTCTAAACCAGCTAGGCACATAAAACCAAATGTTTACTTTATTTTAAATAATATTCAGCATGTCATACAGTTTGCCAGTACAAGAGAATGATCCAGAGAATGATAACCGAAACTGACATGAGTTGCAAAGAAAATGTTTTTTTTTTATCCTTTTTTTTAAGATAAGCTAAGTAGGCTATGTGATGTCAATTTAAAGATGCCAAGAATCTATTTTTTAAACACATACATTGTTTCTGTGAAAGGTAATTTGCCCAGAAGCTATGGTTTATCACATAGTATGACTGTGTTTAACTGTCACAGAAAGATATAAATATATTGTACTAAGTCCTCCTTACTTTCAGCAACTCCACTTTAGGTAGACGGCTCGAAGAATCGCTCCATTTAGGGTTTTTCCTTTATTGCCTGAAGCGTTCACTGCGCTACTTACTTAATTTGTTCTTTAAATTACCTCCATTATGAGCGTAATCATATTGGAAGATTACTGGGGGATGATTTTCGCAACTATGATTATAAATCAATTCATGCATTCTGGATGCAGATTATTGAATATGTTTGACTTTGCATAGAGGGAATAAATACCTTATTATTGTTCACTTCTAAAGCTGTGTAATCTCTTACAATAAATAAGAAACTAAATTTAACTGTCTCCCTCATTTTTCTTTCCTCCTCTATTAAGGGAAAGACAACACACACACACACACACACGCACACACACCTAAATGTCTTTTCTTCAATGAAACATGTTTAAGCACAAACCTAAGACATGCAAGGGATAAAGAAGGAGCAGTTGATGGGTGTTATATTACAGAATTCAGCGTCACAGCGTTGTTATTCAAGTAAGGAGAGCCTCCTTTTACATACACCAACTTATTTCATATGAATCATTGTTCTTTTCTCCTTACGTTCATTTTACTCCTCCGCCTTTTCCATCTCCAGAGCTTTGCTCTCCATTGTCATATTTATGCTCACCTACTTCAAAAAGAGAAGAAAAAAGATCTTTTTCGTTCATCTTTCATTCATGAGAGACTTGTGATACTTCTGCTCAGATCTACAGAGCATCTCAAAGAACACTGCTGCTAAAATGACAAAGCATAATAAATGACAAAACCCCAAATATGCCAAATTAAATTAAATGGTAAAATGCAAAAAAAAAAAATTCAATAGGTGGCTCCAAAAGTTGGTGTCAGGACTCGACATGATATTATTTGTCATTATGTTCAAGAAAGACCTGTTTGGGAGCAGATGGTGGGGGTTAAGGGCCTTGTTCAAGGGCCCAGAGTTGGGCAAATGAGGGTGGAGGCAGGTGTGGGTGTTTCACCTTTTCCACCCACATTTTATGCTGTTGGTCTGGGGAATCGAACTGGCAACCTTCCAATCACAGGCCCACCTTTTCTAATCTTGGTGCCAACTCTTCCCTATATCCTGATGCATGCTCAATAATCCAGGTAGAAAAATCCAAAAAAGTTCAATCTGGTCCTCTGGACATTCAAAAAAAACAAAAAACAAAACAAAGCAAAAAAATCTAGAAACGTTT